CCCAGCTGATTTTTTGTATTTTTAGTAGAGACGAGGTTTCACCATGTTCACCAGGATGGTCTCGATCTCTTGACCTCGTGATCCACCCGCCTCGGCCTCCCAAAGTGCTGGGATTACAGGCGTGAGCCACCACGCCCGGCCTCAGTTCAGTTTTAAGGAAAGTCCCAAATGGGAGCATTGGTCAATAATGAAATGGGCCCATCTCGGGGAGTGAACTGTATCAAGGGAACAGCCTCACCAGGGCTGGACGGCTCCCTGCATGGACAGCACCTGCTATCTAGGGTTCTGTGGAAGCGGGTGGATGGAGTGAGAGAACAGCTTTTTATAGAGCAGTCACTAAAGGAAACACTAGGCTAAGGCAAGTTAAACAGGTAGCTTTGCTGTAGGGCTTCCCAGGACCTTCACTGCCCTGAAACTTTGCCACAACTCTAATGCTTATGGAAACCAGACAGACAACATGAATGGGTGACGTGGGAAGGGGTGGATGGGAGTGGGCAGGGAGACAGCTGCCCTTTGGAAAAGGAAGCCTACTCAGCTCCCACTCGGCTCCCCTCAATGTCCTTAAGGGAACTCTATTGGCTACTGTTACAGGTTAAATTGTGTCCCCAAAAAGATATGTGGAAGTCCTCACTCCTGGTACCTGTAAATATGACCTTATTTGGAAATAGGGTTGCAGCTATAATCAAGTTAAAATGAGGTCATCAGGGTGGGCCCTAATCTAATGACCAGTGTCCCTACAAGAAAGAAAAATTTAAATACAGAGAAAGATGCACACAGAAGATGACCATGTGACAATGGAGGAGGCAGAGATCGGAGTAAGCCATCTACTAAGCCATCGAACACCAAGAATTGACAGCACCATCAGGACTCAGGGAGGCAAAGAGGGATTCTCCCTGGGAGCCTTCAAAGAGAGCACAGCCCTGCCGACACCTTGAGTTTGAACCTGTGGTCAGAGACAATATGTATCTGTTGTCTTAAGCCACCTAGCTTGTGGCATTTTGTTATGGTAGCCCTAGGAATCTGAGATAGCCACTAATTCATGATGAACTATGGACCAGCAAGCTCCAGAGGGAGAGGATGCAGAACCTCTTAACTCATAGATCATGGGACCCTTTTTGAGAGAGCATCTTGTTGAATGAGCCAGGGGACACAATGCAGGTAGGGCACTCATTCTTATTCTCAACCTTTTGTTTTATACCCACATGGTACCATTCACAGAAGTGACTCCTGGTTTCCTTACCTGTAAGTTGAGGACAACAATCTCAGTCTCCCAGGAAGCTGTGAACTCCTAGCAAGATGCATAGCAAGCACTACCCACCAGAGGGAGGATTATTATGTGGGATATTCCTCCCTGTGAGCCTCACTCTACCCCTCTGTAAGATGGGACAGCAACATCTCCCAAGGCTTCCCAGGGTTGCTAGGAACTGGCATGTGGCTAGTGGTCAGAACCATCCATGATAACCAGTCAGCTCCTTCCTGCACACTCACTGCTTCTGCATGTCCTTCACTGCAGGGAGCCTGGTCCCCAGTGGCTGCCCTTACCTGTGCTGTGAGCTGGATGGGCTGGGACAAGGTGAGCTGTGGGGTCCCAGAGGGCTGGCTGGCAGGCTGTGGTGGTGGCAGGTCACCCCCCCCAGAGGAGGCTGGGGGCTGTGAGGTCGAGGAGGAGGCAGAAGAGGAGGTGGAGGAAGTGGAGGAAGAGGCAGAGGCAGCGGCGGCAGCGGCGTTAGCGGCAGCCGCAGCACTGGACTGCTGCACGGCGGCGGCCAGGAGCTGGGCCTGGGCTTGCTGCAGGAGGAGCTGCTGCTGGGCTGGCATCAGCGCCGTGAGCTGTGGGGCAGCGGGATCAGTGGGAGCCGGAGCAGGGGGTTAAGAGAGGAGCAGAGAAGGCAGAGAGGGATTAGTGCCCAAGCCAAGCAAGTGAGGGGACAAGACCTCCTGGAGGACACAGGCAGGTGTGCGAGAGTGGCCATGGCCTTAGTGGAACAGTTCATCCATCCACCAGCCCTGTAACAGATGAGGGGTGGCTGGTTTGTGCCCTTGTCCCCATCCTTCCCTGAGTACTTACCCCAGCTAGCTGGCTGCCCGTCAACATGAGTTGGGCCTGGGGCAGATGAGGCTGGGCCGGCTGGTGGGGCAGAGGTGCTGCTGGGGCTGAATCACCACTGGGGTCTTCAGCCTTGATCTGGGGGGGAGAGAGGCAGGGTCCGGGACCCCAGAATGTTAAGTGGAGGCCAGAGAGAATGCCCACCTGTGAACCAAAAAGAGGGCACGAGTGTGGCAATGGCAACCAGACTGGCACAGGAGGAACAGACTGGGGTGTGAACATGAGGCTGCAGCTTATGGTCCTACGCTGACCACTGGGAGATTTGAACCACTCCTCTGGCCTCAGTTTCCTCATCAATCAGATAGTGCTAACACAACACCTGCACCCAAACTCCCTACAGGAGAAGTCTCCTTTGCAGAATGCTTTCCCCCTCCTGAGAGTCAGTTTCCCTGCCTGTAAAATGTGAAATAGTGGCCAGGCATGGTGGCTTATACCTGTAAGCTTAGCATTTTGGGAGGCCGAGATGGGTGGATCACTTGAGGTCAGGAGTTCAAAACCAGCCTGGCCAAAATGGTGAAACCTCGTCTCTTTAAAAAAAAAAGGAAAATAGTTCCACTGGGCATCTGGGAGGTCAAATAAAGGGGTTCTGGATCCCACACTCTTCATCTGTATCACACAGAGGTACCTCTCTCTCTCTCTCTCTCTCTCTCTCTCTCTCTCTCTCTCTCAGTCTGTTGCCCAAGCTGAAGTGCAGTAGCATGATCACAGCTCACTGAAGCTTCTACCTCCCAGGATCAAGCAATCCTCCCACCTCAGCCTCTGAGTATCAGGGATTACAGGTGCCCACCACCACACCTGGCTAATTTTTTAAATTTTCTATAGAGTCAGGGTATCACTATGTTGCCCAGGCTGGCCTTGAACTCCTGGACTCAAGCGATCCTCCTGCCTTGGCCTCCCAAAATGCTAGGATTACAGGCATAAGCCACTGCACCTAGCCAGGTGCATCTCTTATTTGTCCAGTGAAGTAATACTTGGTTTGAGGAAAAGGTTTTCAGGTACTAAGAAAAGCCACCACCTTGTAACCTGGGCTACAAACTCAGATGCTTATGGAAATGGGCACAAATGTGTGATAGGGGCAGGGCTGGATGGAGGTGGACTGGAGAGAGCGCTGCCTGAGTAGAAGTCCCATACAGCTCCTACTTGGCTCCTGCTGGCCACTCTTTTCAAAATCTAGAACAAAAATACTGGCAGAATAAGCAAGGCACAATATTTGTCCTGCACTGTGGACAAGCCAGATATGGCCCAGGAACTGTCAGGCTTCAGCCTCCACCCCTGACCTCTGCGAAGCCTCTCTGTGTCTCTCTGAAGATGATATGGACACATCTTGCACCATACACACAGAACAGAGCACCATAGAGCCACCTTGGCCTCCTCTGCTCCTAGGTGAAAAGCCAGACAGCAGCAGTTGTTACTGAAAGGCCTGTTGGATGAAGCATACACAGTGGTGGGAGAAGGCATGGCCTGATGGATCACACACCCTCAGGCCTAAAGTGGACAATGGGATCATCCTTCAGCCTGATATCCCAATACCATTTTGTAAAAGGAAGTCCAGAGAGGGAAAGTAACTTATGCAAAATGATACAGCGAATTGGCAGTGGGGGTGATATTTGGAACGTGGACAGAGACAGAGGTCAAGAAAAGGCCAAATAGTAGACAGTGAGTGGCATGTCCCAAATTATGGAACATAAGTATTAGAAAGTTTAAGAGCTACAGAGGCCAGGTGTGGTGGCTCATGCTTATAATTCCAGCACTTTGGGAGGCTGAGGCAGGAGGATTGCTTGAGGCTAGGAATTTGAGACTAGCCTGGGCAACAGAGTGAGATGCTGTCTCTACCAAAAAAAAAGAGAGAGAGAGAGAGAGAGAGAGAGAGAAGTTTAAAAAAAAAAATAAGTGCTGCAGAGATGCAGCATGAAATGACACTGAGTATGAGAAGTCAGGGTAGTGGTTGTCCCTGGCAGGGGCATTAAGGGCCTCTGGAAGGCTGGTCGTGCTCTGCTTCTTGATCTGGTGCTGGTGACATGAGTATGCTCAGTTTCTGAAAGTTCACAGAGTCATACATTGAAGACCTATGTCTGTTTTTAACATGTATCATATATATATACATATATATATATATATATATATATTTTATTTTTATTTTTATTTATTTTTATTTTTTGAGACAGAATCTCACTCTGTCGCCCAGGCCAGAGTGCAGCCAAGGATGCAGTAGCTCATGCCTGTAATCCCAGCACTTTGGGAGGCCAAGGCAAGCAGATCACTTAAGGTTAGAGTTTGAGACCAGACTGACCAACATGGTGAAACCTCATCTCTACTAAAAATATAAATTAGCTGGGCATGGTGGTGACACCTGTAGTCCCAGCTACTCAGGAGGCTGAGGCAGGAGAATTGCTTGAACCCAGGAGGTGGAGGGTGCAGTGAGCCAAGATCGTGCCATTATATTCCAGCCTGGGTGACAGAGTGAGACTCTGTCTCAGAAAAAAAAAAAAAAAGTTTTTAAAAAATAATGTTGAATGCCATGGTGAGCACACTATTCCCTTTTCAGCGGTTTTTCATTGTTTCTGGTTGTCTTACAGTCTCTGATTGGTGCTTGGGAACCTTTTTTTTTTTTTTTTTTGAGATGGAGTTTCGCTCTTGTTATCCAGGCTGGAGTGCAATGGCACGATCTCGGCTCACCGCAACCTCTGCCTCCTGGGTTCAAGCAATTCTCCTGCCTCAGCCTCCCGAGTAGCTGGGACTACAGGCACGCACCATCATGCCCAGCTAATTTTTGTATTTTTAGTAGAGACGAGGTTTCACCTTGTTGACCAGGATGGTCTCGATCTGTTGACCAGGATGGTCTTGATCTCTTGACCTCGTGATCCACCCGCCTCGGCCTCCCAAAGTGCTAGGATTATAGGCATGAGCCACCGCGCCCAGCCAGTGCTTGGGAATCTTTAACATCTCTCCAATACTAGCTAATCTCCACTTTTATTTTAATTTAATTTTATTCTTTTGAGACAGGGTCTCACTCTGTCATCCAAGCTGGAGTGCAGTGGCACCATCAGGGCTCTCTGCAGCCTTGACTTCCCAGACTCAAGCGATCCTCCCAAGTACCTGGGACTACAGGCCTGCACACTCAGCTAATTTTTGTATTTTTTGTAGAGACAGGGTCTCACTACATTGCCCAGGCTGGTCTTGAACTCCTGGGCTCAATCGATCCACCCACCTTGGCCTCCGAAAGTGCTAGGACTACAGGCTTGAGACACTGCACCTGGCCTAATCTCCTTTTTTTTTTTTTTTTTTTTGAGATGGAGTCTCACTCTGTTGCCCAGGCTGGAGTACAGTGGCACAATCTCAACACACTGCAACCTCTGCCTCCTGGGTACATGCAATTCTCCTGCGTCAGCCTCCTGAGTAGATGGGATTACAGGTATCATGCCCGGCTAATTTTTGTATTTTTAGAAGAAACAAGGTTTTACCTTGTTGGCCAGGCTGTTGACCAGGCAGTCTCCTGACCTCAGGTGATCCACCTGCCTCAGCCTCCCAAAGTGTGTTGGGATTACAGGCGTAAGCCACCGCCCCCAGCCCTAATCTCCTTTTAATAAGAAGAGAGCAGGCCTCTGAAGTTTAGACCCTTCAGCACACAAGAGACTCTGGGTAAATTTTAATAATCATCGTATTTATTTCCATGGCAAGTGATTCTGGTTTTCCATTTGTGAAATTTCCATTTAAAAAACATTTATTTAAGCTGTCAAAAAGCAAGCCATTTCATGAGTTGGTAATTGTTGAAGCTGACTGATGCGTATCTAGGGGGTTTATTTTCATTATACCCTTCTCTATTTCTGTCTCCACTTCACATTTTCCATAATAAGTTGTTTTTTAAAAATTGAGCCAATTAACAAAATTATTATGTAAATAGTTGCACACTGTGGTCTCATGCCTGAGACTGTGACAGGAGCACATGAATCACTTCAGTTAGGGAAAGACTGACAGAAAAGATGGAGAGAAGTTGAGAGGCAAAGGCCAGAGAAACAGGGTGAGTTGTGGACTGAGCCCAAGGCCAGGAAGCGGGGGGAGAAACCTTAATTCCTTTGGTCCCACTGGCATCACCAAAAGAAGGAAGCCTGCTGCCAGTTTGAGAACAGACTGCAAAGATCTGATTCAAATGAGGACAAAGTGGGGGCAATGGATACACAGTCTGCTCCGAGGGCTAAGGCAAGAGCCAAATCTGCCATCAGAGGGTCACGGAGGTCAAGATCAAGAGCCTGTCTCCTCTGGACCCCGTTTAAAGCACTCAGCACAGAAGCAGGATATCTGCTTGCAAAGCACTTTTGTCCTCTCCTCCCACAGTGGCATGGGGGTACACGAGACATGGAGGCAACCACAGAGGCCATCCCATCTGACTGTCCCCTCCCCCACGACCAATGATAGAGAAGAGGAAACTGAGAAGCCCAGAGAGGGGAAGTGACTTTCCCATGGTCACAGAGCAAAGCTGTAGCAGGGTGGGGAGCAGTTCCCAGCTTCCTACCCCATCCCTCAGCCACCGCTGGTCAGTGTCTGGAGTCCTGCTCACACCTTCTCTGCCTCCACCTCTAGTGCTACGTTCAGGCCTCTGGACCTGCCTGGTACCCCTGACCAGGCTGAAGGGTGAAGACTTGGGCCCAAGCAGCCCCAAGAAGCCCAGAATGCCAGGTACAGGGCCCCATCTGGATGTGGAATTTGCACTGCCTGGCTGCTTCCAGCCTCCCTGACATCCTCTCCTCCTGCATCCCTAAAGCTATCCTCAACTGGTGCCAACCCCCCACCCCCACCTCAGCTGGCAGATAAATGTGTGTATTGGGGGACAGGAGGTGGTGCAGGCCCCTGTTGGGTCAGGGAAGTTGGGATGGGGGCGGGCCTTTGGCTTCCTGTTGTTCATCACCCTGGGGCTCTGGGGGGGATTTCCCTGGCCACCCCCACCCCCTAGGGAAGGGGAAGGAGCCTGGGTGAGTCACAGACCTGGGGTGGGAGCCCAAGAGTGAGAAGGGGCGGGAGGAACCTCATTACCAAGGTACCAAGGCTCAGTGCTCTCTCAGGCCTTGGACTGAGGCAGGCCTTCTGAGGTCCCTCTCCCCAGTGCTGCCTGCTTCCCTGGCTGTTCCGACAGTTGCTTACCTTTGTGCTGGGGCCAGTTGGGGACACGGAGAATGGGGAGGTCTTATTCTGGGGGTTCTGCAAAGAGAAAGTAGGGGCAGGGAGATGGAATAGTGCAGTGGAGCATCTTCTGACCACCCCCCTCCCTGCCCTCCTGGTCCAGGCGGCACAGAGTCCCCTCTGTACCCCTCTCCCCATTTCTTCCCACACCCTCCCACTTATCCATTCCCTCCTGACCTGATGATTAGTGTCTGGTCCATTTCTTTCAGTGTCTGCAAAGAGAGGGAAAGGATGTGTTGTCAACAGGCACCCCTACCACACCTGTCCCCTCCCAGCCCTCTTCCCATCTGACCCACTTCCCCTGCCCACGGTGATTCCTGCCCCCCTGCTCCCTGCCCACCCACCTGTGTGCTCTGATGGGGAGTCCAGACCTTGCTTCTCGGCCTCCAGGGGCTTAGACATTCTTATTTCTGGGGACAGAGGAGGAATGGAAGTGGAGTGAAGGAGGGGAAGCCAGTAGGGCTCTCGGGACCCTGTTCCACCACACCCCCCACGCCTTTCCCCCAGATTCCCCCCTTACCCCCAACCACCTTGGAAGTGTCTCTTCCCGAGAGACATGTCCTCCATTCCAGGCCTCTGACCTCCTCTGGCAGGACAAGACACAGCCCTCAGGCATTGGGGGATCTTGCCTTATCCTTTTACCCCTCCAGAAAGTGGCACAGGGGTGTCAACCACAGTGCAGCACAGAGTAGGGCAGGAGGTGGAAGGTGGTCATGAGAAGGTATCAGCTGCCCAGGAGGAGGCTGGTGACGTCCAAAAGGAGCGAGAGCAGCCTTGGGCCTCCTCCTCAGGCGAGCCACCCAAGCTCCCGTCCTGCCCCACCAGGTTTCGGGTGAGACATGTTTTCCATTCTGAGAGGGGCCTCAGAGATGTGATGGGGCTGCAGCGTTCCCAAAAGAGGCGGTTGTCAGATCTCGGGGTGTGATTTAGCCGCCCTCTGGCCCTCTCCCCAGCCCACCACTTTCCCCGTCCACATCTCACTCCCACCAGACCTTCCTTCTTACGTTTAGCACACAGGCCTAGCAGCCCCACCCTGATCCTCGGTAGCCTCAGCTCCATCCAGCTCTACCCCGAGCTTATCCTCCAATCTAAGCCTGACCTGGGACTACTTCAGGCTTGAACCCCAGCTGCAGCGTCAAGTCCACTCCTGTAATATAACCCCATTCTATAGCTCCCTAGGCCCAGGAAATGAAAGGAGGTGGCCAAGGGAGGGTAGCAGGCAGCAAGCTGGGCACCAGGGGACATAAACCCACAGAGACAAATGCCTGTCCTCAAAGCGCTCCGATACTTATCACAGAAAGGCGAATGCTCACCAGTGCCAAGAACAGAACTAGATATGACTCACATCTTACATTATCGGTTAGTGCTAATATTACCCCGATTTATAGAGGAGGAAACTGAGGCTCCAAAAAGGGATGTCACCTCCCCAAAAGCACAGCAAGACAGGAGACGTGCCCTGATTGGATCTCTGGTCTTCATGCCTCCAGTGCTCCTGTTTCTAATCTGAGCCACTCTAATCTAATGGCCCCGAGTCCTGACTTCCAGCTATCTCATCTCCAATAGTCCCCCCACCCAAGCTCATCCTGAAACCAAATCCAACCCTTCCTGGTCCTAGACCCCAGGACAAATCTGGGCTTCAGCCCAACCCATCCTTAGTCCACTTACTCACCTTGAATCCCAAGTTGTACCCAGATGGCTCAAGTCCTTCATCTGACTTTGACTCTCAACTGTCCTAAGACCCTGTCCCTGATCTAAACTTTTCCCATAACTCACTCCAAAATCCCTACCTAAATCACGACCCCCACCCCTACTAAAGGAGCTGTCCAACTCTAGTGTGCTCTGCACCAAGATACTTAAAGAAAGCAGCTAGGCTAGGCACAGTGGTTCATGCCTGCAATCCCAGCACTTTGGGAGACTGAGGCAGCCAGATCTCTTGAGCCTGGGAATTCAAGACCAGCCTGGGCAACATGGAGACCCCATCTCTACTAAAAATACAAAAATTAGCTGGGCACAGTGGCACACACCTGTAGTCCCAGCTATTGGGGAGGCTGAGGCAGGAGAATCATTTGAACCCAGGAGGTCAAGGCTCCAGTGACCTGTGATTGCACCATTGCACTCCAGCCTGGGTGACAGAGCAAGACCTTATCTTAAAAAAAAAAAAAAAAAAAAAAAA